GACTGAACAACTATTGTATTCTTGGACTTTCCTTCAGCAGACAGCCATTATTGGACTAGCTGGGCCACAGCCTGTAAGCCATTCTAATAAATAACCCTCTTTAATACATATACAAATCCACTTTACCCATTTTGTTCTTTTAGCGAAGCTGGACTAATAGAGAACTCTTACAACTCAATAGTAAGAATATAAAAGCCACTTCCCCTTCTAGCTGGTGCTACATAGTGCTTTCTAGACAGGGTAGGGAAGCTGCAACTATGAAATCTCAGCAATATGGCTGCCTAACCAAGCCCTACATAATTAGAACACCATGACATGCCAACACGGTCAGGAGAAATTTCACAGGCCCCAGGCCTAAGATGAAGAGCTACAGACAACTACTGGATAATGAAAGAGAATCATTTTTTTCCAGGAATGAGCTCCCTGATGGGGTTGGTTATCTCACCCTGAGTGGTCAGCCCTCAACACATGTACATACAAGCCTCACTAAAGGGACTTAGGAGTGCGTGCGTGTATGTGTGTGTATGTGTGTGTGTGTGGTGTGTATGTGTAACAATCATATTTAAAGAGGGGATGAATTTGATAGGAAGTTAGGGGGACATGGGAGGAGTTGGAGAGGAGAAAGGAAGAGTAGAAATGATGTAATTACAGTACTCATGTATAAAATTCTAGAAAAAATAAATATAAAAATGAAATTAATAGGACAGAAACCAAAGTAGGGGAAACCTGGGTGTATATCTGGTCCTGCCACCATTCGTACATCCTAGTCTAAGAACTATAAATACCATGTCTGGGCTGACCAAACATGTCACTAAACAGGATTTTCTGGAATTGCCACTATGAAGATTATTTGTCCTCAAATGATTTAGAAGGCAATCAACCTTCTGTTGAGTGCAAAGCAGACATAATTCTACCACAATTCTTATCCAGTGCAAAGTGAGCAGACTGCATCCTTGGATCAAGAAACCACAGGCACTGACTGACACAGGCTATTTTTCTCCATCTTTTCTAGTTCACTTTTCACTCTCTGGATAGAGAGGAAGATGTGGTCTTGACTTATACAAATCAGCTGACCTCATAGTTTTTATTATCACCTTCTTTTACTCAAAGTGTCCTTGGTTGAATGATAAATCTGAGCCAGCCTGTCCATGTCAAAATTGCTTTCATGAACATGAAAGGGACCCCTGAAGGCTTTAAGCAGGTTTGAGCCATAGTCCATAAGTTTCACTATCAGTCATTTAAAGTTGAGGGTCTGGGACCAGGAAAATTGAAGTGAGAAACTGGATGACAGTGCTTTGCCATCATTGTAAGCACTGCTTACAGCAGAAGTGTTGTTTCTGCAAGGCCAGGGCATGTTTCTCTTGCTGTCTTCACAGGTGAGAATGTGGACCATGTAGAATTAGTCCCTGTGGTTATATGGCCACATGGCAGAACTGAGCCACACCTGTAGCTTGTACTTGTAACTTTAAGCATCATGTTTAGAGGAAACGGGTATGGGTAGGGTGTACAGGCCTTTGCACCCGGTTCAAAGACATTGGGATGGCTCTTGTGGGGGACTGTTAGTTACTGTGGAACTGGTCTATGGCTTTCACTCGGCTTTCAATAGTGTTTGACACAAGAAAAGTGAAGAATGTGTTTGACTGCTTTTGGTAGAGGAGTTAAATATTAATGATAATCTATGGTTTATATCAGCTGTTATGTAATCATAAAATTAGAAGATTTTTTCAAATGATATAATTAGTAAAATTATTGAGAGGTAGTAACTTTAAATTCATAATTATAATTATATAATGCATCATTTTAGACTGCATTTTAAAACTAAGGGCCAATTCACCATGAGATACTAAATATAACCTAAGAATAGCAACAAAGAAGAGTGAATGATGGTAAGACTAAAATTAATTTACTGAAGTACATCAGGCAGAGAAACTCTAATATACTGACCTAAGGCAAAATTAGTTTTGCAGTGCAAAATATGAGGCCGAGGTTATAGTTCAGTAGTAGTAGTGTGTTTGTCTAATACCTGTAAGGCTCTGGATCAATCTCTAGTAGCACACACACACACACACACACACACACACACACACACACACACACACAACGCACACAGGTGGAGGGGTCATGAAATAAAAAGATGTATAATTGCAAGGTAACAAGAATACTGAGCTGCATTAAATCAAATGGTATTGTGCTTCTATTTCTTAATAACTAATGTAAGTTGTGGTTTTTAAAAAATGTTTATTTTGTGTGTATATGCCATGGCTTATGTGTGGAGGTCAGAGAGCAAATTGGTTCTCTCTTTCCCCCATGTGTGTCCTGGGAACCAAATTGAAGTCATCAGACTTGCAGGCAAGTGCTTGTACCTGCTGAGTCATGTGGACAGCTCCAGGAAATTTTCTTAAGGGCAAAATATTAGTAGAAATTTGGCATGTGGGGGGCACTTTTAAAAAGTTGGTATCCTGGGCTGAGGTTATAAATCAGTAGCAGAGTACTTGTTTAACATGCCCAAACTCTGGATTTAATCCCAACAAAAACATAAATATATAAAAATGTGCATGCTTTCGTTTTTAAATTATTTTTAAAATGTGTGTGTGAGTGAGGGAGATGGGGTTAAAGGGGGAGCAAGGAGTGCTAGGGGGAGAGAGAAAGAGGAGGAGGGTAGAGTGACAGAGAAAATGCCCATGCAAATATGAGACATGAGTGGAGTCCTTGCTGAACTCAGAAGACAGTGCCAGATCCCCTGGAGCTGAATTATAGGCAGTTGTGAGCTGCCCAATGTGGGTGCTGGGAATTGAACTCAGGTCTGCAAGAGGAGTACATGCTCTTAATTGCTGAACCATCTCTCTAGCCCTAACTTTTATCTGTTTTTGTACAAATATTGTTTTTGACCTCTTGTGGAGTATAGGGGTAACCTATTAGTATTTATGATTTCAGATAACATTCAATTACACTTTTGTACAACTGTATCACTATTAAATAACTGGGGTGCTTCCACATGGATTGATATATAGGAACACAGTAAATTTATTGAGTGATAAAATTAATACAAATTCCTATGTGGACTCATTAGCTTAAATCAAATACCATGAATGAATATCATACCAACCAATGGCACTCAAGCTTCCTCCTTAAGCATGATTTGGTTGACATTAAACATATACATATTTTCTAAGTACATACTGAGTTATACTAATATTAAACATATAATAACTTCTTATATTATGAAGGCTAGACATTTATTATGAAATATTCTCAGTAGGCACAAGCTAAGAAGTTCATTGCTTAGCCTGTGGATTATTTCTCACATGAGGAGAGCATCTCTTCATTGGACAGGGTCAATGGTGTCTGGCAGAGGAAAGGAATGGGACCCAGGAGTGGCACAGGGGCAAATGTGGTCAGTCTGCACTTGGTTGTGCATGATGTCAAGACAGTGTTGCAGGAAGAGAAATACTGCTGCTTTAGAAGGACTCTGGGAAAGAAGGTAGTAAGAGGACTTATGGGCCTCTAGCTCCTGGCCATGTGACAAGTTCTGGTATCTGGTGCACAATGGTACTTAGCTTTAATTGGGGCACACACCTGTCCTTCAGCTGCTTTTTAACTTATGTGTTTGTTAGTATTTCTCTGGCAGTAATCTTGTTTTGCTTTCAGTCTAATTTCCCGTTCAGTCTCTCTGTTCTACAAATGAGTGACACCAAAGAGTCTCCTCCAAAGGCACACACTTACGCATTCAGATTACTGAACAGCACCAGGGAAAGGATTCTGGTTACACTGTGATACTCATACTGGCGACATACAGGGGATCCCAGGGATTGCATGATTCATCTTGGGCTTCTTCGGTTTTGGTGTCCTTGTGAATTTGCAAGATGTTGCATGCTGTCTATGAATTAACACTTACAGAGTTGAATTTAGAACAAGATCAAACTAAGGCTTACACAAAAACATTTAAAAGTCAACCTCTAAGCCAAGCATTGTAAACTGAAATTTATGATAGAAATGATAGTGAACGTTAGAAACACACAACTATAAAAAAAAAGAAAAGGTTTTGTCCTGTTGCTCACCTGTAGCACTGAGGACATTTACAAAGGATCCCATGTGATCCCCAAGCATCTGCTAACCCCTCGAACATTAAACAAGGGGCCGAGGGGCTGAAGAGGTGTCTCAGGAGTTAAGAACATTTGTTTTCACAAAGGACCTGGGTTTAATTCCCAGCACTCACATTGAAGTTCACAATTGTTCATAACTCCAGTTCCAAAAGCCTCTTTATGACCCCATAGGCACCTACAAGCAGTACACAGACATACATTAAAAAAAAAAAAACACTCATATATATAAAATAAAATAAAAAAAAAACCTCTTCAGAAAAGGAGGGAGGGGACACCTGGGCATGAGGGAAGAGACAAGGGCAGAGGGCCTCACAGATAACTAACTGCCTGTGACTTGGTGAAGGAGCTGCAACATTTGACCAGTATCCAGATGTGAAAATGTGGTAGTTAGGAAATAGCAAGTGGAGCTTCTCTGATGCTCGAGTAATCATGGTGCCTGCTACTAAATGTGAACAAACATCAAGGACTTATGAAGACTTGATGGACAGGCTAGATTTTCTGGGTTGATCCTCTGAATTCACTAGACCCTCGTCCCAGTTCCACACCCCTTCTGGAATCCTCTCTTTCCCCTGGTCCCCAAGAGAACCACAAGTGGGAGCATGGTTTATGCATCAATGAGCTGGACTGGAGAGATGGTCCAGCAGGTAAAGGTACCTGCTGCCAAGCCCGATGATCTCGGTTCAATCCTCAGAACATACAAGGTAGAAGAACAGAACAGACCTACTCAGGTTATCCTCTGACCCCCAAATGTGTGCCATGTCATGCACGTGACCTCCCTCCAAAAATGTAACAAAATTATTTAAAAATAAGCTTATGTATTGATTTAAAAAAAAAAAAAAAAAGGAAACAGTAAGCCAAAGAGGGAAAAAAGACAAAAACAGATTTGCCAAAACTCACCATCAGAGGGCACAACTGTACTGCAATAAGCAGCTCCCACGCTCTGCCAGGAAGCTGGCCTCTGGTGTGCCTAGAAGACAAAAGCCAGGTCAACTGTCAGGCAGACCAATGTGAGACACGTGTGCCCCAAATACGTATTATGGGTTCTCTATGGAAAAGTTGAAAATACAAGGAAACAACAAAAGGAATTCCTAGCATCCTAAACTATGGGCAACGAGCACTTTGTTGTGTTTCCATATCACAAATGAACACATCTTATACATGCCGATAGATGTAGTATCATACTGAATGAAATGAAAATCAGGCTTGACAAATCACTTTTACTAACTTTTGGAAGCAATCCAGGTTAAGCATTATTCTTTCTAAATTTCCTTGCTTCTTCCCCTGTGAGACCTTAGGTTGGCACCTCTTTCTTTTATGTCATCAAAGAACAAGATGCACCATGCATTCACAGTATTTGAGTAGGCACTGGCCCTTGCTATTTACTTTTCTTATTAAAAACTTGGACAGGCAACTTCAGTGCTTGAGCCCAGAGCATTAGAAGGAAGTCACAGCCACACATTTTGCCGCATCTTTAAGGGCAGTGCTGTGGCTGTGAGTCCAGAATTGGAGTTCTCAGAATTAAATTAGCCTTCAGGAAGAGTCCTGAACACATTGCTGACTAAGTCCTTCCTTGGTACTTTTTCCTTTTCCAGTCCCTAAAATTATGACAGGAGGAAGACAGGAAGGCACTAAATAACTAAACCCATGCCAAAACCAAGAGCCCCATCACTCAACTGTACCACAGGACACACAAATCTCATCAATTCCCATCTCCTTCCACCTAAAGTCAGGCTAAAGCATGGTGATGCATAGTTACAGTCCCATCACCCAGTAAACAGACAGGAAGATTGCAAGCTCCAGTTTATAGTGTTGGTTTTCATGGCTGTTTGGCTCCCTCTCTTCCCTTAGCTTCCTGAATGTCAATGCTGGGTAAGGTCTACTCTGGGCCCCTCATGCAAAATACTGATGCAGCATTTGCCTCTCCTGACTGCTTTCAGGTGTATGCCCCTATCCAACACACTTAACTTTTCCCCAGATTTTGGAAGTTCCTGTAGCATGAATAATAAAACCCAGGGACAGATTTTGGAGTTAAAGCTGAAGATCAAAAAAGAAAAGTGGTCAGCCACTAGAGAGTTCTCACCTCTATCAATGATCAGAAAGAAAGGGTGATCCTGACTTCAGAATGCATCTCCAGACTGCATCTGTCTCCACCAAACCTAAGACTGCACTGGGTTCCTGTCTCCTCCTGTCTTATATTTCTCTCTAGTATGGGATTAACGGTGTGGGATCCCAAGTGCTGAGATCACCTTTGTGTGAGCTCTGTTTCTCATTTCAACTGGACCAATTTCATGTAGCTCAGGGTGGCCTTGAACTAACAGATGATATCTCAGAGTTGTTTTGATTTGCATTTCTCTGATGGCTAAAGATGTTGAACACTTTCTTAAGTGTCTATCAGTTCTGTACCTCACTTTTTAATTGGATTATTTGGTGTTTTGGTGACTAACTTCTTGAGTTCTTTATATATTTTGGAGATCAGCTCTCTGTCAGATGTGGGGTTGGTGAAGATCTTTCTTTTCCCACTCTGTGGGCTGCTGTTTCGACTTGATGACTGTGTCCCTTGTCTTACAGAAGCTTCTCAGTTTGAGGAGGTTCCATTTATTAATTGTTGATCTCATTGTCTATGCTACTAGCATTATGTTCAGGAAGTGGTCTCCTGTACCAATTGGTTAAAGGGTACCTCCCACTTTCTCTTCTAAGAGGTTCAGTGTGGCTGGATTTACATTGAGGTCTTTGACCCATTTGGGCTTAAGTTTTGTACAGTCTTCTACACACCAGCATCCAGTTATGCCAGCACCATTTGCTGAAGATGCTTTCTCCTTCCATTATATAATTCTGGCTTTTTTTTTTTTTTTTTTTTTTTTTTTTTTTGTCAAAAATCGGGTGTTTGTAGGTGTGTAGGTTAATATCAGGATTTTCGATTAGATTCCATTGGTCTACCTGCCAATTTTTGTGCCAATACCAAACTGTTTTCAGGTTTATAGTAGAGCTTAAAGTCAGGGATGGTGATGCCTCCAGAAGTTCCTTTATTGTACAGGGTTGTTTTTGGCTATCCTAGGTCTTTTGTTTTTCCATATAAAGTTGAGTATTACCTTTCAAGGTCAGCGAAGAATTTTGCTGAGATTTTGATGGGGATTGAATTGAATCTGTAGATTGCTTTTGGCAAGATTGCCATTTTTACTATGTTGATCCTACCTATCCAAGAACCTGGGAGATCTTTCAGAATGGATAAAGATGATGTGGTACATTTACACAATGGAGTACTACTTAGCAGAAACAAAACAATGGAATCTTGAAATTCTCAAGCAAATGCATGGAACTAGAAGAATCCATCCTGAGTGAGGTAACCCAGTCACACAAAGACGAACATGGTATGTACTCACTCATATATGGATTTTAGACATAGAGCAAAGGATCATCAGCCTACAATTCACACCACCAGAGAAGCTAGGATACAAGCAGGGCCCTAAGAGAGTCATACAAGGTCCTCCAGAAGGGGAAAGGGACAACATCCCTTGAGCATATTGGGAGCAGGGGGTGGGCAGTGAGTGGAGAGGGAGTTAGCAGAAAGAGGAGGGGAGGAGAGGAGAACATGTGGGACCAGGAGTTGGGGGACGACTAGATGAGAGCAAGAAAAGAGATACCATAATAGAGAGAACCATTATAGGTTTGAAGAGAAAACTGACACTAGAGAAATTTCCAGAGACCTACAAGGATGACTACCTTATATGCCATTCTAGAGCCCTCATCTAGTAGCTGATGGAAACAGAAGCAGATAACCACAGCCAAACACTGAGCCAAACTCCTGGAATCCAGTTGCAGAGAGGGAGAAGTGATGAGCAAAGGGGGTCAAGACCTAGGCTATAGAAACCCACAGAGATAGTTGACCTGAACAAGGGGAGCTCATGGACCCCAGACTGATAGCTAGGAAACCATCATAGGACTGACCAGATACCCTGAACATGGGTTTCAGTTAGAAGGCCTGGGCAGTCTGTTGGGCCTCCAACAGTGGAACCAGGATGTATCCCCGGTGCACAAAAGGACTTTGGGAGCATATTCTCCATAGAGGGATACTCCCTTAGCCTAGAGACAGGAGGGAGGGCCTAGAAACTACTCCAAATGACTTGACAGATTTTGATGATCCCTTCTGGAAGGCCTTACCCTCCCTGTGGAGTGGGTGGGTAGTGGGATGGGAAGGGGATTGGGGTACATGGGAGGATGGGAGGGAGAGGGAACTAGAATCGATATGTAAAATATGAAATAATAATAATTATTATTATAATTATAAAGATGCAGTTTCTCCTCTGTGGATATAAATTCCACATTTGTTTTCATCCTAATTCTTTAGATAGTGTGCTCCATGCTCTCTGCCAATTCTGCAGCTACAGTTTCTGCTTTTATTGCTTTGATGACCAAACTTCTTCCTGGAGAAGAGCTCCTGAGGGCTAAATTTTTTGAAGCCTGAAATATTAATTACTAAACTAATCTTCCCTGGAGGATCTGGTAAAGTACTGAATGCTGCTTTTGGGGAGTCTGAGGCCAGCCACCAACTCTGGAGAATGGTGTTTGCCTGGCTCTGCTAGGGCTCTGCAGTCATAGGTGTTGCCTCCCGAGGTCTTCCCATACACTTGTTCCACCTTCACCAGATCCAGCAGCCATCTATATAATGTGCTGTGAGACTGCTCCCTGGTTGTGTGGAAGACAAAACGTAGAACTTGCTTCCTTACTCTACCTCCTATTCTATGGCACGAGAAGAGAAGGGAGGAACTGTTGCCCTTGAGGGCCCATTACTGTTATGCAGTGACCTTTTACTGTAACCATCTGCAAACATACAGAAAGAAGTAAAGAGCAAAGTGGGGAGAAAATCCCATGCACCCATCACTCACTTCAGTAGTTACTAATATTTTACCAAACTCAGTTTATCTAGACCTGCCTCATTTGTTTTTTTCTAACCCCAGAGTCAGCCAGTCTCTCCTCATCTGCTTCCCTTTATCTCCCTCCCAGACCCCCTCTTCTGTCTCTGTCTCGTTTTCAAGTTTATGAAATACAGTCCCATATAATCAAAGCTGGCCTGAGACTTGCTATGTAGTCAAGAATGATGCTGAACTCAGGATCCTCTTGTCTTCTTCCCTATCTCTCAAGTGTTGGGATTATAGGCATGCGCCATCATGCCTTCTCCTCTGCCCCAAAACATCTTAAAAAGACATCTATCAAAACACTTCACCTGAAAATAGTTCAGACAACATTTGCTGGAACGCTGTAAAGACTAGAAGGCCTCTACAATTTTGCAAATTATCCTTAGCAATTATTTTTTGTAGGTTATCAATCAGTACATAACTAAATGATTTCTGCTAGATGCATAAAGCATGGGTTGTCAGGCCAGTCATCTCTTTTTATGGATTTTATTGGAACACAGTTGGTCTCTCTCATACCCACAGCTTTAATCTACATTCTCTCTCTAAACAACAGAATTCAGCAGCTAGGTAGTGGCGAGATAGACAAGTAATTGCAACAGAAACCAACGAGTAATTGCAACAGAAACCACAGGGTCTCAGAAATCTAAAACTTCTACAGTTCAGCCCTTTAAGAAAACCTTAGTTGACCCTTGCTATAAACAAAGTTTATATGGTGTTGGGATAACTTTCCATATCATTTCTAGAGTGGCACTGGCAATCACAACTGAAAAATGTATTCAGCGGCAGGGATGCACTGTGTTGCATAAGTTGGCCTCAAACTCCCGAACATAAGCCACCATACTCAGGTTCTTATATATTAAACAGCCCAGGCACATATACTGGTCCTTGTTTTTCTTTAAACTGTCTCATGTTTTATAGTCCAATGAGGCTAACATAAATAAAAATGGTTTTGTTCTAGCCATTACTCCTTGAAATATAGTAACAACACAGAGCAAAAACAAGCAAAGCAAAAACAACCAGGAAATGGATAATGGATGTTCAACACCAAATAAGT